GCATCCCGCGTGAGGTCTGAGACATGAGGCATTGACTTGAGCGACCAAATTACATACAGCCATATTACTTCATATGTAGACTTTTAGTTTCTAATCTAGAAGGTGTACAGTGTTTAGTTAGAGGTGAGCAGAAAACACGATCACTTCCGGTGCGAGCTTGTCTGATAGTGCATGACGGGTAGGTAGTGTCAACAAAGAAAACCCGGAAGTGACACATGAAGGCTACTTATCTGGGGGAGGAGGACGGGAGGAGAAGAGATGAGGGGATGAGGGAAGGGGAAGATAGGTGGGGAAGAGGGGGGGGGGAAGAGAGAAAGGGAAGAGGGCGAAGAGAGTTGGGGAAGAGGGAGGAAGAGGGGAGGGAAAGAGAGAAAGGGAAGAGGGGAGGGGAAGAGGGGAGGGAAAGAGAGAAGGGGAGGAGATAAGTGGAAGGGGAGGGGGAAGAGGAGGGGAAGATAGAGGGAAGAGAGGAGAGGAAGATGGGATACGATGAGAATATTTTAGAGGAAAATGAACAAGACAGAAAAAAAAACACGACATAAACAATGGTAAAAGTTCTAATGGACGCTTGACATTTAAAGTTCGTTTTTCTCAATCAGCGGATTATGATATCACTAAACAGATTGTCACGAAGCCTTGTTTTTAAACCGTATTTCCAGACCACGGAATAACCCTTTCCTGTTAGCATCTATTTTCATTAAATGTCATGTTTTCTCGTTCTTTTAAAACGATCTTAAATTTTCAAAAAAAAATATATTTGAAAATGCTCGAATAGCATTTTACTTAAATGAAAAGTATTTTTTCTTTATATTTTGTTAAGTTATAATAGAATAGAAACCTTTATAATTTAATTGATACATTTAAAAGATGCCTAATATACGAACCATAAAGAATAGGAAGGATATATAATTTTTCATTGTTATTGTTATCTAAAGATGGTAGAAAAAAATGATAAGGAAAAAACACAGCAACATGTATAGTAGACAGGTGTAGACGTCCGTGTTTTGTTGCCGATTTGCTACATTCACGTCACGTGTGTCCCATATAGGATATTCTGTAGGATCATTTGAGTCTTAGAAAGGACTTCACTGGAGCGTTTCTTAGTAAATGTTACAGGAATTTGTGCCTTAGACAGGCTATGTTATATGAATATGTATGTCTTGGACTGGCAGTGTTATACGAATATGTATGTCTTGGACAGGCAGTGTTATATGAATATGTATATCATACGGTAACATCCGTGTCTTGGACAGGATTTATGACAGACATGTGTCTCAGAAAGACATGTGTCTCAGACAGAAATTTGTCTCAGACAGACAGTGTCTCAGACAGACATGTGTCTCAGACAGACATGTGTCTCAGACAGACACGTGTCTCAGATAGACATGTGTCTCAGACAGACATGTGTCTCAGACATACATGTGTCTCAGACAGACATGTCTCAGACAGTGTCTCAGACAGAAATTTGTCTCAGACAGACTTGTGTCTCAGACAGACAGTGTCTCAGACAGACATGTGTCTCAGACAGACATGTGTCTCAGACAGAAATGTGTCTCAGACACGATTAGATACACGAGAAGACACATGTTGGTGTAAAAACCCTGCCCCTAGAGCCGGACGTTTGTTACCTAGGGTAAACATTGGCTACAAGAAAAAGTTCCCTCGCTGAGCACTTGGTGAGAGAAGAATCCTATAGAAGCGTCACGCACTTTTCACATTGAGAATTTTAGAAGAATTGTTGGTTTTTTTTTTGGGTGGGGGGAGAGGGGGGGGGGGGAAGGGGGTTTGGGAGGTGATGGATGACTTTGTTTGATGGATAAAGGTTTATTTTTAACAATTTCTTCGAACCATGTACTGGTGTTGGCAGGGGCTGGTTGTGAGGGCGGAGGGAGAGCGTGTGGGGAGTCGTCTAAAGAAGGTAGCATGTCATATATTTCTAGAGGATACATATTATACAGCCATGCTTCACACTAGTATATATTAAAAATTCTAATTATTCATGATGTCTAGACATGTCAAATAATGTCGGATGTCTTTTTTTCAAGTACGTTCCATCACTTAAGTAAAGTACTGTTTAGTGATGGTGGACTATGAACGCTATGCAGGATTTGTATTTCCATTTTTAGTTATAACTGGTAAACAGAATATATCTAAACAACGCGTATAATGCTGCTAATTGACGCTAATATTTTTATTCAATAAACTATTACGGTAATTAACTTATTGTATTATGTTTTTATTTGAAGATTAATTTGTAATTTAACATAAGTTAATTTTTATAAACACTTAATTAAATAATTAAATCAAGTATTTCATTAATCTAGTTTACGAAAATAAAATAAAAATTGTTTAGTTGAAAATGTGATTTTTTAGTGCTTCATTTTAATTTTAAATTCTTTCCCTTAGTCTCTCTCTGTCTTTATATATATATATATATATATATATATATATATATATATATATATATATATATATATATATATATATATATATATATATATATATATATATATATATTTATTTATATATATATATATAAACAGAAATATATATAGGTGTGTCTGTGTTAATACAGTTAGTATCGCCTATCACTAACGAATCCTTTGTTGTTCTTATTGCGAGCAATAGCCTATGAAAAAAGTAATAGTTTAGGTTGAGTACAACATTCATTGCCGTTGCTACCTCGTTACAGATAAGTATCTTTAAAACCAGGCATCATAGACAGTGAGGTATATTTGGACCAGACTGCCACTTAAAAAGGAAATAATCGCACTTTAATTTGCTCATTATATTTACCTAATGAGATAAAAATAATTTAATTTGGTTTTACGAGAACGATAATGTGATGGTATGAAATTATACGAATATAATTTTATGATATTGTCCTAATTGTGTAGGGAAGATAACGTGAATAAAAACATTGTCAAATGTAAAGAGAAGGGGAAGCTACTGCTGGTTATCCAGTGATACACTGAGGGTAAAATACGAATAGAAACCGTACATGCTCGCACAGATAGACAGGCAAGGGGAGGTAATGTCACTGACACGATTCAGAGAGGGGAGATGATCAATTGGTCAGAGACAACATAAGCCCTAGTCTTACGCTAGACAAAACACGCGTGTCAAGTTAGTGTAGAGTTGTAGGGCAGCAATTTAGAGAGAGTTTTGTTGGTTAAACCTTTGAGTAGATAGTTGTAGAGCAGGAATTAAGCGAGAGTTATGTTGGTTAAACCTTTGAGTAGAGAGTTGTAGGGCAGCAATTAAGGGAGAGTTTTGTGGTTAAACCTTTGAGTAGAGAGTTGTAGGGCAGCAATTAAGCGAGAGTTTTGTTGGTTAAACCTTTGAGTAGAGAGTTGTAGGGCAGCAATTAAGGGAGAGTTTTGTGGTTAAACCTTTGAGTAGAGAGTTGTAGGGCAGCAATTAAGCGAGAGTTTTGTCGGTTAAACCTGTTTGTAGAGAGTTGTAGGGCAGGAATTTAGCGAGAGTTTTGTCGGTTAAACTTGTGAGTAGAGAGTTGTAGAATGGCAATTAAGCGAGAGTTTTGTTGGTTAAACTTGTGAGTAGAGAGTTGTAGAATGGCAATTAAGCGAGAGTTTTGTTGGTTAAACCTTTGAGTAGAGAGTTGTAAGGCAGGAATTTAGCGAGAGTTTTGTTGGTTAAACCTTTGAGTAGAGAGTTGTAGGGTAGCAATTTAGCGAGAGTTTTGTTGGTTAAACCTTTGAGTAGAGAGTTGTAGGGCAGCAATTAAGCGAGAGTTTTGTTGGTTAAACCTTTGAGTAGAGAGTTGTAGGGCAGCAATTAAGCGAGAGTTTTGTCGGTTAAACCTTTGAGTAGAGAGTTGTATAATGGCAATTAAGCAGCGAGAGTTTTGTCGGTTAAACCTTTGAGTAGAGAGTTGTATAATGGCAATTAAGCGAGAGTTTTGTCGGTTAAACCTTTGAGTAGAGTGTTGTAGGGCAGCAATTAAGCGAGAGTTTTGTCGGTTAAACCTTTGAGTAGAGAGTTGTATAATGGCAATTAAGCGAGAGTTTTGTCGGTTAAACCTTTGAGTAGAGAGTTGTATAATGGCAATTAAGCGAGAGTTTTGTCGGTTAAACCTTTGAGTAGAGAGTTGTATAATGGCAATTAAGCAGCGAGAGTTTTGTCGGTTAAACCTTTGAGTAGAGAGTTGTATAATGGCAATTAAGCGAGAGTTTTGTTGGTTAAACCTTTGAGCGAGGGGGGTGCGGGGGTGCGGACCGCACCGGGTGACACCATTTATGGGGGTGACACCAAGGCAAGAAATAGCAAAATATATAGAGAAAAACTTGAGGGGGGTGCAAATCGAAAGTTTGAGGGGGGAAGGGGTGCAAATCGAAAGTTTGAGGGGGGTTGCAAATCGAAAATTTGAAAGTTTGTCCCCGGGAAGGGTCGCTACGCCTCGGGTGGGGGGGGGGGGGGGGTGACACCATTAAGTGCCGCACCGGGTGACACCCGACCTCGCTACGCCACTGCTGGGTATAACAACATATAAACATATGTTGAGATAAAGAAAACAGATTAACTCTGCTTTACCTAACCTATTGACAGTCGGGTACAAAAGGAAAGGGTATCTTTACTTTTTTGTTTACTATGTAGGCTACTGCTGTAGTGAAAGTTACTATAAGGAGTCGAGTAGAACTCATTGAATGTTGGAGTAGATAATTTAACGATGTATTCATCAAACACAGAAAACTTACATTTAACACAAAGGATGCATACAAATACATAATTTTTAAACCCCCGGCCCCTATCACCGCCGCACAATTACGCATGTTAAAAAAAAAAAATTAAAAAAATTCAAATCAAGATTCAAGTTAAGCGGTGCATAGATTATCTTTAGATAAACAGAATTAAATTTTTTATGCAATTTTTTTTTTATGTTGAAAAAAAAAATCATTCCGCCATTCATTTATTAAAAGAAATCTCTTTGAAAACGAAATCAACCCAAAAAAAAAATGTTTAGTTACATCTGTCCTTACCTCGTTGCCTTTAGCTCCAATCATGATGAACAGAGTGGTGAGCAGTGTCAGCCACGCACGGGCAGGCTGTCTACACGTGCGGAACTGGAACCGTATGCCGGCTGTCATCGCCTGGCATCGCGGGGGTGTCTGTGGAAACACAAACGTCGCCGGATTAGCAAGTTGGTTTAGTGTTTGGATTAGCACGGTGGTGGGTTAGTGTTTGGATTAGCACGGTGGTGGGTTAGTGTTTGGATTAGCACGTTGGTGGGTTAGTGTTTGGATTAACACGTTGGTTTAGTGTTTGGATTAGCACGTTGGTGGGTTAGTGTTTGGATTAACACGTTGGTTTAGTGTTTGGATTAGCACGTTGGTTTAGTGTTTGGATTAGCACGTTGGTGGGTTAGTGTTTGGATTAGCACGGTGGGTTAGTGTTTGGATTAGCAGGGTGGGTTAGTGTTTGGATTAGCACGTTGGTGGGTTAGTGTTTGGATTAGCACGGTGGGTTAGTGTTTGGATTAGCACGTTGGTGGGTTAGTGTTTGGATTAGCACGGTGGGTTAGTGTTTGGATTAGCACGGTGGGTTAGTGTTTGGATTAGCATGTTGGTGGGTTAGTGTTTGGATTAGCACGGTGGTGGGTTAGTGTTTGGATTAGCATGGTGGGTTAGTGTTTGGATTAGCACGGTGGGTTAGTGTTTGGATTAGCATGTTGGTGGGTTAGTGTTTGGATTAGCATGTTGGTGGGTTAGTGTTTGGATTAGCACGTTGGTGGATTAATGTTTGGATTAGCACGTTGAGGGTTTAGAGTTTGGATTAGCACGGTGGTTTAGTGTTTGGATTAGCAAGTTGAGGGCTTATCGGGTGGATAAGTACTTTGGCGGTTTAATGTTTGGATTAGTACGTTGAGGGCTTAGAGTTTAAATTAGCATGTTTTTTTGGGGGTGGGTTTTCATTGTTCTAACAGGCGGCTTAACATAAGAATCCAAGATTTGAGCACGTAGACCCTTTACATTGGGAGAATTTTTTTTATTTTGATTCTTACATTGTTAATGGTAACTAGAATCTATTAACCCATCAGTATGTTGATATTAGATGTTTATGGATCGTACACATATAACACACATATAACACTATATCACACGCCCTATTCCCGTTGTGAACGTATGTAACAAATACCTCGAAAACTTTACATCGTTTTACTAACGATTTTGAACTCCCCCCCCCCCCCCCACCCCACACACCATCTACCAACTATACAGTATGATAGACTTAAAAATAGGATTATAGAGAAATCAGGCACTAGGAAATAGCGTGTTACTTAATGAAAACTTCAATAGAAACGATTGTTAAGCCAAATATTGTGTTTTAAATAAATCGTAAGCAAGTTGTGTCTAGATATTTAGTTCAACATACTAGATACTCGAGACTTTGTGAGATAACGATCAAATAGAAAACAATTTAACAATACACATCAATACGACCTGAAGAGGCTGAATGCCCAATACAATGCCCTGACAACAGAATTTCTTCCAGGCATCTCTCCCCCCCCCCCCCACCCCCCACCCCGAACGAAATGGAATTTATAGAAAATATATACTTTTACCAATGTCCGCCCCCTGGAAATTTTATTCCGCCCCCTCGGAAATTTCACCCCCCCCCCCACCCCGAAGAAAAAAGTTTGGGAGAAACTCTGTCAAAGGGTGGAGGGAGGGGGGAGGGGGGGGGGGTCGGGAATTCATGACGGTGGAAGACAAATGGATATGAGGTAGTTTAAAATTGTGTCGTAACAATTATGTTGTGATTCTCTCAAACAAAATATGAACTTTGTTTAGAGAAAAGTTGTAAATATATGTGACGATAGAGATGGCTTATAGATCGTCTGAGAAAGCGTTACACCATATATAGGCAACCTACATGGAAAAAAAATAATTCCTAGTAGGACTCGAACATATTTCATTTTTATCGTGTGATCGAATCCAGAAAAGATCGATTATAATTTATCAAGTTCTTAGCTTGCTTTCATATAAAAAAAAGATAAAGGCTTAGACCAAAGATCTTTAGAAATAAAAATCTACAACTTCAAAAAAAAAAAATTGTAGAATAAAAACCAGGAATGTTTACACAGATGAAACGAAATTCTTACACTGATCGCAATTTTGAAGTTGCCTAAACGGAAACCAGTTTTATGGCCCGTCACACAGCTATCAGGGATAACGGGTTTTCCCGAATTACGGGTATTTCCGATCGTTCCCTAGAAATGTAGATCTATGGCTAAAATAAGTGGGAAGACGCGTGCGTCAATTTGTCGCCATTTCTGAACGGAAATACGATTGTCAGGAGGGATGAGAGAAAATGGCTTTTTTTCCGCACAAACTCGCTGAAATACTAAGTGAAATGATAAGAAATAATGGAGGCTGGATATATATTGAGGTCTTTGCAAAGATTTCTAGTAGTGTCAATCGAAAGTAAACTTAATGCAATTCGCAGGAAGCTCATCACTATAGATTAGCATTGTTCGTTGAGCAGTTAGCTATAGATATTGGAAGAAAGTTCCAGTTCTATCTGGTTTGGCACTTTGTTTTGTTAAAAAAGGTCTCAGAAAAAGGTCAGCTTTCCTTCAACGATCATCATCATCATAATCTTCATAATCATTATCATCATCATTCCTGTATACTCATTGAAGAGCATAGGGGACGCAACCATACCTCTCCATCGTACTCGGTTCTGGGCGATTCCTCCACGTTAGGCCCACGACATTCCGGGTGCTTCTGCTTCACTGACAACTCTTCTTTTCCTCGTTTGTTTTGTCCTACCTACTTTCCTCTTTATGTGGAGGTTACAATCTAGAACTTATCTGGTGATGTTGCCACTCCATTAATCGCCTGGTCCTGATTGGTACTTTTATCTTTGTCTTCCCATTTACAAAGCGCGTCCAATGTCCAGCTATTAAATGCAACTAGCCCTACTTCACAACACTAGATTGTAAAGACTCTATCTGGACGGTCGCTTCTGTATGACTTACAGCCTGTGGTATTTAAACAAGTGGCTATTTGTGTGGTAATATGAGTGATAGAGACCACGAAATCAAATGAAACAGTAGTTAGGTAACATGTTTGTTGTTTAGAAATCTGAAGATCAAATAAAAAATACCCCCCCCCCCTCTCCACAATCATGTTTAGTAGTATCGGCACCACCCCCACACTCAACTAAATAGATAAATAAATACACCGATACATTTTATGTTGTCATAATTTTGGGATTCCATTTTTTTCTTTCGTCTTCTGCTTCACCCCTTGAGTAAAACTAAAGTGTTGATGTTAAAAATATAATCAGCTAAAACCACCTGCTAGGTTATAAAAAGTAGTATAAAATCCCGATTACTCACTGGAGAAAAATGTTCAGGTAGTAGGGTTCAAGGTAACACAGTGTCAACAATTTCAGACGTAGAGTGCAACATGCACTGTGAGCAACATACGCAGAGAGCAACATGCGTATAGAGCAACATGCGTATAGAGCAACCTGCGAATAGAGAGAGCCACATACGCATAGAGCAACATGCGCATATAGAACCATGCGCATAGAGCAACATGCGCATAGAGCAACATGCGCATAGAGCAACATGCGCATAGAGCAACATGCGCTGAGAGTGACGGAAAGCAATACGTGATACGAGAGCTAGGGATAAGCTGCGTCACGCTAATGAGAGTTAACAAAGGGTAGGGGAAGATTAGCATCAAAGACAGCTGGGCTGGCACCGCTCACAACTTGGCGACGCGCAGGTGATTTGTTTGGGTTTCTCGCGTGAGTAAAGTTTAGAGGGTGTTTAGTAAACCTAGCGGTATCAACTCTCTGTATTGTTTAGTTTTATTGTGAGTAAGGTTTAGAGGGTGTTTAGTAAACATAACGGTATCAATTATCTATATTGTTTAGTTTTATTGTGAGTAAAGTTTAGGGGGTGTTTAGTAAACATAACGGTATCAATTATCTATATTGTTTAGTTTTATTATGAGTAAAGTTTAGAGGACGTTTACTAAACATAACGATAACATCATATTGTTTAGTTTCTAGTGTGCTAAGGTGTAAGGAATAATGTACTTGTTAACCCCCCACATGGAAAAAGATTATAAAAAGATATGATACTTGTACTTTAATTTTTAATTGAAGAAGGTGAAATTGGGAAATGTCATTAATTAGCAAGAAATGGTCTGTATTTCGGAACCCTAACCCTCCAGGTTGTGTGCGTGCATTAAATTGAAAGTGGCAAAAAGTGGCGGGGCTTAACTTTTCGCGCGCGCACTTTTTGCATTAGTGGTGGGGCTTATCTGACGAGATATTAAAAATGTAGATTTGTAGTTGGCCCGCGTGATAAAATATTCCCTCAACCACGCCTCGACTCGTTTCTAAATTTTCTAAATTGGTTTAGGTGTTTCTACATAGAGTGCTAAGGAAATATGTATGTATGTATAATGCAGCAAAGTGATTATACACGATGTATATGTATGTATGCATGTACGAATGTCGATGGACATTGTTTGCCAGACGACGCGAAGGGAATGAGACAGTTTATTGTCAGTACTTCGTCCCAATGTCTGTTCTTCTTCCCATGCGCCCCCCCCCAACCTCCGGGCCTCCCCCCCGGGCCTCACACTGAGCCTGGTCTAGTGCCAGCTACTGGCGGGGGGGGGGGGGGTAAAGTGATGCTAAAGTGAGGCCATATACCGGCGGTCGGTCAGCTCATAGTTCCATACAAATAGTTCATGGTGTCCGTAACACGGTGGCCATAGTTCCATACAAATAGTTCATGGTGTCCGTAACACGGTGGCCATAGTTCCATACAAATAGTTCATGGTGTCCGTAACACGGTGGCCATAGTTCCATACAAATAGTTCATGGTGTCCGTAACACAGTGGCCATAGTTCCATACAAATAGTTCATGGTGTCCGTAACACAGTGGCCATAGTTCCATACAAATAGTTCAGGGTGTCCGTAACACAGTGGCCATAGTTCCATACAAATAGTTCATGGTGTCCGTAACACAGTGGCCATAGTTCCATACAAATAGTTCAGGGTGTCCGTAACACGGTGGCCATAGTTCCATACAAATAGTTCAGGGTGTCCGTAACACGGTGGCCATAGTTCCATACAAATA